CTGAACACTTGGTGTTGACGACATTCCCATCTTCCCTTCTTCTTCGTCTAAACCCCATCTTCTTCGTCTGTGTATGGTTGGGACTGGCGCAGTCTTCCTGTGTGAAGCGCCAGACCCCTTCACACCATGGCATGAKGATGATGATGTATGTTTGGGGCTGCATTGCAATATTGATTGTTCGGATCATTGGTATCTAAGTCTTCCGCTGTGCTATTTTATACTTTGTATTGAAAGGTCGGTTCTTGTTCTGGTCTGCACCTATACGGTATGCAACACTCGACCAACGTTGACGCAGGAAAGATGGTTGCATTGCCAACGTTGAAGCAGGAACGATGGTTGCATTGCCGACGCTGAACCAGGGACGATGGTAACCGTTGCGTTGCTGAAATAAGTCTGACTGCTTATCTAATGATGAAGAAGAAGCTGCTGGTGATGGATGCTGCATCCAGCTTAAGGGCATGGCGAAACAGTTCGCTGTGATATCTTCCAATCTCCAGCTCCTTTTTGGTGACTGACAAGACGACCAACGAATTGAACTCAAACGTCTGCCTGAGGGCACACTGCTCATATCTACTGATGAACAAGCTGACAAGACGACCAACAACTCAAACGCCAGCCTGAGGGCACACTGCTTATCTACTGGTGAACAAGCTGACAAGACGATGAACAACTCAAATGCCTGCCTGAGGGCACCGCTTATCTGCTGATGAACAAGCTGCTGGTGATGTTGCATCCAGATTAACGGCATGGCGAAAGAGTAAGCAGCTGTGATATTTTCCAAGTTCCAGCTCCATTTTGGTGACTGACAAGATGGCCAACAACTCAATGTCGCCGGCCTGAGGGCATATACTCACACCAGGACTTTTTTACTTACGTCGGGACGGAATTGCGGGCAGGTGCATCAAGGCCCGGCCGTACTGCGGTCAGATACATTTACTTGCGATAGTCGTCGTGTGAGTACCCCCTGCGGATGGAAAAAAATAGCCATCACGGGGAAGGTTCACAAGGGGTTCAGCTCCACTCTCTGGTGACCCCGACAAGATGACCACCAACGCAATCGCCAGCCTGAGGATGGAAAGTCGCTATGGGCCAGATTCGGAAGAGGTGAACCTGGTTCAGAAGATGCGGAGGGAAAAGTTGGGCATGCTAGGGTCCATGTCATTCAATTCCTATTCATCCTGCATTGACTTGCACCGCGACAAGCCATGGGTGCTATTTTTCCACGGCAAGAGAACCGTTATGGTGTGGGACTACGAAGATGACAGACCCATTGCGACCATGAAAGTGCATGGCAGGAGGCATTTGGAGGGTAAGTGCGCAAAATTTTTCCCGAACAAGGACTGGATTGTGCTATTGAGTTCGCGATACTGGGTTGTGTTTCACTGCGAGGTCGTGGGTTCGAACCTGAGTTCAAAAGTCATCGGCAAAGGAGTTATCAATCATGTGGTGGACATGGCTGTCCATCCATGTTTACCTATCATGCTCACGTGTTATTGCTTGCCGAGTCAGAACGTTGAGCTGTGGAATTTCGACGATAGTCCACCGAAAAGTGTGTCTGTCAAGAGAACGATACTGAAGGGCCATACGTGCGTAGCGAGGATGGCAACATTTCATCCCGTCAGACCGGACATCTTTGCGAGTCTCTCGAACGAGGGGGAGATCATCGTGTGGAAAATAGGCACAGAAACGCCAACCAAAACGATCGGGGGCCAACAACAACAACAACAAGAACAACAGATTGAATACTTGCGATTCTGCAATGATGTCCATAAGTCCCATCTCGTTGCCGGCGGATCTCATGGCTACTTAAGGGTATGGGACTACGCAACAGGTGCCTGTATTGCCCGTTTGGAACAAAAGGATACCTCGCCCCCCTCCGTACGTTCCGTGTTCTTCCATCAGAGCTTGCCGTACATCTTCAGTGCAGGGAGTGATGGGACCGTGGGAGTTTGGAGCGAGTTGGACTACACACCACTTCTGTTTTATTCTAGTAAAATTGAGAACCTGAGGGGCATGGCTTCCTCCAGAAGCGGTGATACGCTTGTTCTTGCAGGCAACGGAACATTCGTCGTGCTGGAAGTCACTCTGCCACGGAATGCTAGGAGAGCAGAATATGCGAGAAAGCTTAACAGAAAAACTGTAGACGACGAGAGACAGCACGAAACATTGACAGGGGAGAACCGGTCTCTTCTGACGTCAGCTGGTCCAGGAGAGGATATTGCGATGTCCGAGCGGAGAGAAAAGGAGTTGAAGGAGGACACGTTGGGAATGAAGGTAAGTGAGCTGCTAATGGCAACAGATAAATCCGAGGCAGAACTTGAATACAGAAGAAGAGAGATCGACAGAGACGCTGTACAACGTGAGAGAGCGAATGAAACAGTGACAGGTGAGCACCTGTCTCTCCCACAGTCATCGGCTCAACGAGAGGATATCATGATGTCCGAGCGGAGGGAAAAGAAGTCGCAGGACACATCGGAAAAGGAGGTAAATGAGCCGCCAACGTGCGATAAATCAAAGGTAGAACACGGAGAAACTATGGCAATATCGCTGCAACAAATTGTTGAGTTTGAAGGTACCACAACAGCATTATTAGAAATGGCCTATGAAAGATCCAAGCAGACACTAAGAGAGCTCAAAGTAATAAAGGAAGCGGGGGTGAATGCACGGCAAAGGTCGGAGGATAGGGTGCGGGCGGAGCTGGAACGGGAAGTGATCGCGAACGCCGATGAAATACACAAGTTAAAAGCAGAGAGGAGAGAGATGACAGATAAGTTGAAGATCTCCGAGCAGAGGATCGCAGAGTTGGAAGAGGCGAATGCGCAGCTAATGTCTGCTGAGTCCATGGTAGCAGAGCTTGAACAGAAAGGGAACGAGAAAGACGAGAGGATTCGTCAGCTGGAAGAAGAGAGGGCAGCGTCAGTTGAGGCCCTTAGTGTCTGCACGCTGAGGAACGGAGAGCTGGAAGAGCAGTTGGAGAAGGCGGCCAGTATGCTACGGATATGTGAGACAGAGAAAGAGGAGCTTGAAGAGCAGTTGGTTGAGGCGCTCAACGTCTACAAAATGATGAATGAAGAGATGGAAGAGCAGCTGTGGAAGGAGGCCAACATGCGATGGATGTTTGAGAAAGAGAGGATGGAGCTTGAAGACGAGGGTAGGGTGAAAACAGAGAGGATCCATCAGCTGGAAGATGACAAAGGTTTCGTTGCCAAGGCACTGGAAACCGCGAAACTGAAGATTAAGGAGATGAACTCCAGGCTAGAGAAAGTCATGGACACAGAGAAGATGCTGGCAAGCTCCTCACTGGCACAAGCAGCAAACCGTGCTCAAACAGTGAATGCAAAGAATGCGCTGCAGCTTCACAAGCACTCCGTCAGCGATCGGTATCATGAACCCAACACCTTCAGTAGTGAGAGGGAACCCAAGGAGGAATATGATGATGATGATGGAGGGGCATCCCAGGGTGGGCTGCACATTGCGACTCCTCTGGACACTCGAGGTCACTGTGGCGAGGTTGAAGATCAAGGAGATGAAGGCCAGGCTACGAAAAGATACAGACGCACATGAGATGCTGACGAGCTCACATAAGGTCGGGCCTGATCGGGTGTGTGCAGCAGAAACTTGATTGCCGAGAGGGGGAAGTCGGGCAGGAAGATCGTTGTGGTGGGGCACACTCAGGTGAACTGCGCATTGCCACTCATGTGGACACTCTAAAGTGGCATGGGTGACAATGAAGATAATGAGGAGAATGAAGTCCAGGCTACAAAAAGGCACACACGCACATAAGATGCTGGCGATCTCACTTGGACAGGCAGAAAGTCCCAAGTGAGTTTGCCCAGACATTGGATGCCATCGATCAGGCATTTCACGGGTAATATTTGCTCACCGACGCGTTTTGTGCGAGAGACAACTTCAGAAGAGAGAGGAGGAAACTCAGGGAGGAGGATAAGACTGCACATTGTCAATCCTGCGATCATGAAGAAGCTTGCAGCCAAGGGAACTCAGAGTCAGAGGAGTCTACGCCATCATGCCCGGTTCAAGATGGAGGCAGTGGACAGGCTGAGGTCGTTGCAGCACACCCCCTTTTGTTGACCCTCTCTGGAGTCAGCTATGGCAGTGATGAAACAGCCTTGGCTTATGAGCATATGACAAATTGGAAGAGCCCGCGGGTATAAGGATGCTGTCCATCGTACGCGAGCTAGCGGGTTATGCAAGAGACTCAAGGTCTGTTCTCTCCTCACTCAAATTCAACAGGGAACATGTTGTGCTTTTATTTTTTGTTTAACACACACGTACACTCGGTGACACACACACATACACTCGGTGACACACACACACACACACACACACACACACACACACACACACACAAACCGTGACAAACGTGCGCGCGCACGCATGAGTTGGTGAAAGTCCAACGAAACAGTCTGGCACAGTCATGCTTTTGTTGAGTGTGTAGCAGATATGACAGCACACACGTGCACACATGTCGCATACAGGATTAATCAACAGCAAAGAAAAAAGCTAGGGAGGATAGGTCAGCGGGAAGACGAGACGGTCACAGGGGTTTTGCAAGGAGAAGCCCCTGTGAAAAAAATGTGGTGTAAGGTACAGTGAAGGCAAGCCTGGCCACAGCACATGCGATTCTTTTGAATAATTTCTTTGTACCGTTTTTTCTTTCCTTTCTTTTCTTTTCCTTTTGCATTTCCCTTTTTTTACCCTTTTTTTTTCCGTAGTGTATGTACCATAGGCAGATATGTATCCAATTGTTTTTAGGATGAATTGACTTGGTGGCTAGGAAGATTTCCACGCCGGGCTTGTCACGCCCGGCCGGGCACCCGGGCGTGACGCCCGGGCAGGTCGTTCGCCCGGGTCAACCGGGCGTGAGAAAAAACATAGTTTTTTTTTTTTTTTGACCTGACGACAGTTCTGCGCCCTGCCTGAGGGGCCCAAATCCGGGGTGTTTCATATTT